GGACCTGTGAAGAATGTAACCTTTTACTCATTTATCTCTAGACTAGGGGTCCACGACGAAATTCGAGAAAAATAATTCCAAAAATAAAGTAGATTGGATAAATAAAATTTAAAAAAATAATAACAATTCATTCTACGTTTATTTGTGCCCACATAGGCAAAATAGGTAAGGTAAGTGGGACAAGACTGGACGGTCGTTCGGTTTCCTTGAAATTCCATTGTTGATGCTGGATCCAGGATGCTCAAATTCTACAAGTCTCCAGGGTGCAGGTCAAATAGCTAGTAGAAGTGGAATATCTAAAACGCGATAGTACCACGAGAGCTACTTAGATTTGGGATTATAGACGCTGATGCGTGTAAAGCTCAGCGTGTGATTTGCGTGAAAGTTTTTCAAAATAGTTCAATGGTTCCAGTTAAATAGAGTAGATATTTTGAGGGTACACACCCAGAACTCGGAGAAACAGAATGATTTTCTCACGAAGAAGCGCATTGAACTGAGTGCTTCTCAAACGTTCATCAAAACTCATACAAAAATGCAAACTCAATAAAAGCATATTACTTGATAAGTTATCGAGTGTCACGGGCAGGTAAAGCTCATACCATTGCTGAAACGCTCATAAAACCGTGTGTTAACGATATTGTATCTTGCAGCTTGTCGAAAAAACAGTACAACTTAAAGGTTTCTAGAGTGCCATTATCAAACAATACTGTCAAAAGACGAATACATCATTTATCAAATGATGTGAAAGAACCGCTGCATCCAACACAATTCATTTTCTCTCCAAATCGATGAATCAACAGATACTGCGGGTATGGCTATTTTATTGGCTTTTATCCTTTATGAAGACACGGGATGTTTCGACGAGGATCTTCTCTTGTGCACTTCCTGCCAATACAACAGATGCCGAAATATTCCGTTTGTTGTACGATTTCTTTACGACTAACGAAATTCCTAGGTCCTATTTGCATAGACGCGTGCACAGATGGTGCAAATGCAATTACTGGCCAAACGATCGGAGTGATTACTAAAATAAAAGATAAATCTAAGGATTGTGTTCTCCACAAACCTGCTTTAGCTATGAAACAAATGCCAGCCTGTTTTGAGAAAGTTTTGGATGAATCTGTTCAAATTATTAATTATATCTAACTGCAACTATTGAAGTCAAGATTTTTCACGATACTGACAATATGGCAAGTCTTTATCATTCCCTGCTTCTTCATACAGAAGTGAGGTAGCTACCTTGGCTATCTTGAAGGAAAATACTTTCACGATTACTGGAATGACATTCTGAAGTCTTATCTCTGTTGATGGACCTCAATTAACTTGGTCAACGTTTTCAGTGATGAGAAATGGCATCGTGTACTGGCGTATTTATCAAATATTTTCATGAAAATGAATGAGATGAGTCTTTCTTTGCAAGGGAAGAGTATCAAAACCTTCGATGCTGATGGCAAAGTTTGCCCCTTCAAAAGAAAAATCAAATTTTGGGTTGAACCTGTTAAGAAGGACGAGGTGGAGTATTTTCATGTGTTAAATGATTTCTTAAGTGAAAACCAGCTAGAGCTTGCGAACGGCACGTCGATTGCTGAAATAGGTGAACACCTTCGAAGTTTGGAAATGTCCTTTAAGCACTATTTTCCAACAGCTCTAGATACAACGCTGCAAGACCATGAATGGGCGTTTAAGTTTCAAAAACCGTTTTAAGTTTTGATAAATCCAACCAGTCTGTCTTCAATTGAATACGAATATTGATAAACATTATTTCAACCTCCACCTTGAAATCTACTTGCGAGTTTGATAAATTGGTTTGAAGTGTTGGTTCCGTCTGGAAAATAAAAAAATTTCAACCGCTCTCAGCCACCAAAGCTAAATATCGAAGCTGTCTTCATCATCCGTCTCCAGCTGTCAAAAATTAAACACAACAGATCCAAATTTTGTAGGCTAAAACAATCTCACCCTTCCCATTAGTTCATTAATAATTAATGTTCAAATTATTTCTTTTGAATTTGGCTCCCGTTTTACTTACCTATTAATTTTGTTCTGTCCAAATTGGTTTTTGTGTTTCGGATTTTATAAATAAAAAACATAAAATTTAAGTATGTCAATATAATGTTAATGTTAAAATTGGCTAATTTATAAAACTTTAATTGACTACATGTTATAAGTAACTAATTTTAAATAGTTAAATGAGACGGGTCCGCCCTGGATTTTGTTCTGTGAAAGGGGTCCGCTGGCTAACAAATTTGGGAAGCCTGGCTCAATATAAAAGAAAAGATTGAAGATTAAATTGGATAGAGTAAGTGTACAGAAATATCTGTAATAGTAATGTAAATTTGCAAAAAGATAAAAAAACAATTTGTACTCAATAAAGTAATATTAACACATACATAAAAAATAAAATGTAAACATATAATAAAAAAGTAACGAGGTCACAATTGACAAGTTTGATACCTTAGAGTGTTAAATGAATAAAAGATTACACATTGTTGGGAAGTCCACTGGCATGTACAATATAATATGTTTTATACTGGAAAACAATATAATCGAAAAGATTTTTTATAGGCCATATAAATGTAATTATCGCTGAAGAGGACTCATGTCATGATGTCGAAAACGTTTTGTTAGTAAAGAAAATTCCACGCTGCTGTATATTGTTCAATAAGCTACAATACAAATAATATAATTTCAGAATTTTTTATTCATTCAGCTATAAACTATGCTAGTTTAAGTACCATTTTGCGGACAGGAAGTTGTAAAATTCTTTTGTGGAATGGGGGGGGATGATGAGTTTCTGAGTCAGTATCCCTGGCTTTTTTCCTCGAGTTTGAATAGGAAGTAAAAAGTATAAGAAGAGTTTTTGTAGCGCCGGGACGATGAAGGGAGGAGGGCTCGAGGGACGTATGCGGGACTATTATACAATTGTCTTCAATTGGTGGCAATTGCTCCTGACGGCTCTTCAATTGGGATGGATTAAAGGTCAATTGAGTGGCTGGGAATGGAGGGAGAGAGCCGGCGACCAGTTGCACTCATGCCATCAACAACCATCTTTATGTGGATCCGTTGCGCAATGGTACCCGCGACCTCCGTTTGACCCGAGGTGCTCCCGGAGGCGAATCAAATCTTCCAGGAACTATTCGCAAAATTTCTACTATAAAAATTCTTCTTTTTTATTGAACAAATATATATTTAAATACGATTAAAATTTTTTTTTTTCACCCGCCTTGTATTGTTATGCATATTTTACTCTCAATATTTTTTTCCTTTTTTTCTATTGTTTGTGTTTTCTGGCTGCGTGAAAGCTGTTCTGGCTTCAAATCACTACGCCTTTTCCATTGCAATTGAACATGCTATAGATGAATTATTCTTTTCAAATTTAGGCATTCAAAAACCGTTATTATTTCTTAATTATAAAAAAAAATTATTTGAGTTAGCATTCTCTACGGAGCGAATAATTCTCAGTAAGGGATATGTGACAACTTATTCTATTCTCGTGTCAGCATTGAGACATCACCAATCATGATTTTTATTCTATACTAAATCGTTACTGGATTAAAAGATTTATAATAGCTCATTTACGTTTTAGTGGTCTATTGAGCAAGTTACATCTTTCAATTAATTATTCTTTCCATGTAAGGTGTTGGTTGAGATAAAAAAGTCAGTGTCACGAGCGGGATTCGAACCCACGACCTTCGGCTAAATACGCCGCTACTCTACCACTTTAGCCGAAGGTCGTGGGTTCGAATCCCGCTCTTGACACTGACTTTTTATCTCAACCAAGACCTTACATGAAATTTATAATAACATTTTTTTTAGTTAGTGAAACATTTCAAACACTCATTTAAAAAGATATTGCAAGTAATTTATATGACAATGGCCAATATTTCCTATTAATTATTCAATTTTGAATTCTATTTCTGCCTTTTGACGAAATACCCCACATGGAAACGCTAATAAAAAACTATCTTTCTGTTACATACACAACACACATACTCTCTCTCCTCCTATCTCTATCTATTCCCTTCACTCTAACTCACTTTCTTCCTTTCACTCTCACTCTCACTCTCTTTCTCTCACCCTCTCTTTCTCTCGCCCTCTCTCTCTCTCTCTCTCTCTCTCTCTCTCTCTGTTTTTATTCAGTTCTATCTATCTATTTATTGATNCTCTCTCTCTCTCTCTCTCTCTCTCTCTCTCTCTCTCTCTCTCTCTCTCTCTCTCTCTCTCACTGTTTTTATTCAGTTCTATCTATCTATTTATTGATTATGCTTCATACAAAATATTACATATAATAAATAAACATAAGAATAAAATATAAATACAAGTATAATTTGTAATTATGTTAATAATAATTTATAAAAATGCAAATAATTATTACTTATTGCTTATTACTTATCTTATAGTTATGAAGCCAACTCTCAGCAAGCAGAGCTTGAGTAAATAGTTGGAGTTTGCAAAGTTTATGCAATTTATTAGTTTGTCTGTTTACGTATCTATTGTTTTTCAAGTTTTCAACTTCTCCCTCATATCTCTTATTCTTTTTACTCAGTCGCTCACAATCTATTTACCTATCTTTTTTTACATACACCCGTTCATTTTCTCCCTCCTTTTCATACAACACACACACTCTCTCTCTTTTTTCCTTTCTATTTCTTGCTCTTTCTCTAATAATCTTCGGTAGTTCGAAAACAGATTATACTACTCAGGCAAAAAAAACTTGTTCTTAATTTTTAGTGTCATCTTTATTTTTAAAAAATATTTACCACGCGGGAGATTTTTTAAACAAATTTTGTTGGTCAATACATAAAAATAAATACATTTACCAATAAATAAACGGATAAATATAACATATAACTCGGTTTTGTTAGTATTTATGAATTACAAGTTCCTAAATATTATGCTTTAATTAATTCTTCTTCGTCTCTCTTTATATAATTTTATTTAATTCTTTTGTATTTCTTTTTAATTTTTAGTATAAGCTAATAATGTGTATATATTTGTTGCAGGACGATGGAGGACACTTTTCTGGTAGATAAGTACATTAAAGATAACATTCATGTACCAATATTTTTTTACATAACAAATCTATTTGTTTTAATTGGATTGTAATTATTATTTAAAAACCTTCCCGTCTAATCAATACTTCCGTTGAAAATTAGCGAGGACCACAAGTTTTTTTTGTCCTATAATGTGGGAAAAAGATTTTGGCATATGTCGGAAGGTCATAATAGTGGACGGATACAATTGAGGGACCAGGGGCGAAAACTGTGGGAGGCTCAGTTTATGAGGGCCGGATAGGGTTTTTATCCGGGAAAAGATCATTTCTGGGAAACGTGTACCCTGTACCATGATCTGGACTTTGAACTGGTACGAGGAAGAATATAGAGTAGTAATTAAAATTATTAATAGATTTATTCAATTGGTTTATTAGAATTTATAAAAAATATAAATAAAACAACAAATATATTGTTATTTTCATGAAATTGATCATTTCAGACATCCCTCTGACAATTAAATACATTGTTACATTTTTATCATGTTGGTACAAAGTAAAGTCAGTGTAGTCGGTTAATGTACTGTTTTATATTTGAAATAAGTGCGAGTAAAACATGAAGAAAAGTTATACGTAGAAGATTATGATAACTTACTTGGTCTTGACTGTCAAGTTTAAAGAACAAGATCTGCGAGTAAAACATGAAGAAAAGTTATACGTAGAAGATTATGTTAACTTACTTGGTCTTGACTGTCAAGTTTAAAGAACAAGACCTGTTTGAGACTAACAAGTTCAGAAGATGTAACAACTACAATCATCAAAATTAAATCATTGTATATATTACCTATTTATCGTTGGCTTGTGGCTTGTTTCAATTGTTTTAAACCATTTCTTCCTTTAATAACATTGAGGTTTAAACATAATCTCTAAATCTGAGGCCTCTCGAAAAAAAACCTTTTGGCGTTACGAGTGCTTTTAAAAGATTGTTAATTGTCGTTGGATGTGGGTTGCATATGGTTTCATCACGGTTGGATGGGGGGCACGCGTCGTCATGGGGGTCACGCTCCCACCCTTATACGTCCACGTACATAATATTATATCCTCTTGTCCTGTCGTCCTCTCCCTTTAGCGATCCATTACAGGAATTGCTACCTCTTGTAAACAACTTTCCCACCAGCAGGGAATCGGCTTGAGACTATTTCTAAATAGAACGTTTTTACACTGTATACCATTTATTATGAATTTAACATGTCAATGTACTCGTGTAAACCTCGTAAACAATACACACACCAAAATTAAACAAGATTTTCAGCAGTTAGAATAAAATATATTATATATTAACAACAAATCATGGAGATACAAAATTTCCTGACGGTATAGTTGTTGAGATTGAAAAAAAAAAAAATTATTTTACGTCTTCCAATATAAACCTATTTTCTCTAAGGAAATGGACTAGTCGTAGTCTGAAGAAGCGAAGTAAAATGTAAAGTACAACCTGACAGAAAGGGAGTAGTGGGAAAATTATAGAAAATAGGTGTTTTTTGTTCTCGTGACATTGAAAGAAAGAAACTTATATAGATAGATAGGTGATAGGTAGATATATAGATGGACTATATATATAGATAGATAGAGAGTGAGAGAGAGGAGTGAGATTGAGAGGGTGATAGAAGGGAAAATGAGAATAATAGTCAGTGGGAGAAATAGAATCTGTGTTTTTAGGTGGCTATTATTATTATTACAATTGATCTATTTATTTATTTTTATTACTAAGAAAGAGAGGTGTGAGAGGGGGGAGAGATGAGGAAGAGAGCGTAGAGAAATAGATAAATAAGAGAGAGAAAGCGAGAGAGCAAAGAGAGAGTGTGAGAGAGAGAGAGCAAAGAGAGAGTATGAGAGAGAGGAGTGATAAAAATGAGAATGAGATTGATAGTCTGTGGGAGGAATAGAATCTGTGGTTTTTAGGTGGCAATTATTATTACAATTGATCTATTTATTTTATTTTTATTACTAAGAAAGAGAGGTGTGAGGGGGGGAGAGATGAGGAGGAGAGAGTAGAGAGATAAATAAAGAAGAGAGAGAGAGAGAGAGAGAGAGAGNGATAGTCTGTGGGAGGAATAGAATCTGTGGTTTTTAGGTGGCAATTATTATTACAATTGATCTATTTATTTCATTTTTATTACTAAGAAAGAGAGGTGTGAGGGGGGAGAGATGAGGAGGAGAGAGTAGAGAGATAAATAAAGAAGAGAGAGAGAGAGAGAGTGAGAGGGTGATAAAAATGAGAATGAGATTGATAGTCTGTGGGAGGAATAGAATCTGTGGTTTTTAGGTGGCAATTATTATTACAATTGATCTATTTATTTCATTTTTATTACTAAGAAAGAGAGGTGTGAAAGGGGGAGGGATAAGGAGGAGAGAGTAGATGGATAGATAAAGAAGAGAGAGAGAGAGAGAGAGAGAGAGAGAGAGAGAGAGAGAGTGAGAGTGTGTGTGTGTGATCGCAGTCGTGGGTTCGATTCCCACCAACGCCCCTGGCCCTTTTTTTCATGATATACTTCCCCCATTAGCACAATGCATCAAATACACACTTTTTTGTTTCTTCCATGGCTAATATGCTATGTTCATAAGACCATTAAAAAAAATGTTTATATTCAAATTTCACCAATGTTATTGTTTTTCGTCTATATATTAGTGATTTTTTAAAACAATTTTCTTATATTTTCACGTTTTTTCTTTATCTTTGAAAAAAATATTTTTTATTAGTTTAATGACTAAAGGTGTCCATTCAACGCCAGTCAGACGTACAAGTCGACATGGCGACTTACTAAATAACCTTCCACTCCAACTTACTAATGCACGAGTCGGAACTGGGAACTGTAACAGTCAAATCACCTTCCCTTAGTTTTTATACTTACTTTTAATAGTAAATTATTGCTTAGTCTTAGTAATAATTTTTTCAACTGGTAATATTTTGTAAAGCACTCAAAACCGGAATAATGTTGGGAGTCGAGCGGGCGAAACAAAGATTTATGGTAAATAAAGTATTAAGATTATTTTCATGCATTAACTTTTAAACGTATTTATTTTATATTATTTTATTATTAAATTTAGTAAGTAAAGTAATTTAATCGTATATGTTGTCTCAAGATGAATTTTATCCAAATACATAATTATAATTATAAAAGATATTTATTACATTATTTTATAATTATAAAAGATATATATGTGAGCAAATTGCTCTATTAGATAGAATTTGATGTTTAATATCTTAATTTTTAACTAATTAGACACAATCAATCAACCAAATTAAACTTCCTACAGGTCACGAGTTGAAAATCTTAAAACAAAATGACTTTAGGCGACTATGTCTCATCCCTTGGAGACAACCCATACTTCGGGGCGGGCTTCGGTCTCTTCGGCATTGGCGCTGCAGCGGCAGTGTTGCGAAAGGGGCTGCAGGCTTCGGTGATATTCTTGCGACGTAACTACATGATAACCCTGGAGGTGCCATGCAGGGACAAGAGCTACAACTGGCTACTTCATTGGATCACCATCCGTGGCGCGAGAAAGACACAGCACCTCAGCGTTGAGACCAGCTTTGAGCAACATGACACCGGCCACATCAAGACTAAATACGAATTCATTCCCAGCGTCGGCACACATTTTTTCAAGTACTTACTTTTTTACGTAAACAAGTTGTTATAAATTATATTTTTAATTTTTATTGACAGATCGTTATAAGGTTGATTATGATAGATTAGCTAAATTTGTTTCTAGGTAAGCAATATTTCAATGTTTTGTGCTCATTATTATGGTTTGTGAGGTCATAAACCAATAGTCTGATCATCCTGTCTGCTATTATTCCATTTTATCTGTCAGATTTGGGAGAAATGCTGGGGGGACTGACTAATAAATTAGGTGAAATGCTGATCACGTCTGACAAGCAAAACCAAGGCAAAGCTTGGAAAATAGGCAAACCAGGATGATCAAAGTTTGCATTTTATTTCTTTTATTTGAATCATTAACATTTTAAATTACCAGGCCATAAAAACTAAATTATACTACACTTATAACAAAGTAATCGATTAGCTGAACAACTTTCTAAGCAATTAACATACAGACAATTTTATTTTCATAATTTCTAGATCTTCAGGTAAAGTTAACTTTATAGGTAACTGGGGAAATTGTAATGGATTAGCTTAAAAATTTGACCACTGTGCCACACATAGTCGAAGGTTGCCACATCTATTAAAACAAACCAGTATGTCTTTTCAAGTTAAAGTTATGCTCTATTACATCAGTTAACATTGTAGTTGTATTTTGTACTGACAACTTGAGGAAAGGAGAGACTATCGAACATAATCATAATTTCTTATTATTTTTCCACAAAATGTTAAATTTAGACATTTTTAGGTATAGAGGAACATGGATAAAAGTCGATAGGACAAGGGAACAGCATACTCTAGATTTGCACATGGGTGTCCCATGGGAGACAGTAACTCTGACCTCTTTTGGCTGGGACAAACAAGTCTATTTTGACATCCTCGAGGAAGGTTTGTTCAAAAACATTTATCGAGAAGTGAAAGATTAATTTATATTTGAATATTCAGCTAGGCAACTTGCCCTCGCTGAAACTGAGGGGAAGACTGTCATGTACACGGCAATGGGGCCTGAATGGCGTCCGTTCGGCCACCCTCGCAAACGTAGGCCTCTGAACTCTGTTGTCCTAGACGAAGGCGTCGCTGAGAGGATCTTGTCCGATGTAAAAGACTTTCTTAATGCTTCAAAATGGTATGGGGATAGAGGTAACAGCCGTAAGAAAATACTGGAGTAATAACATTTTAATTTATATAAGTAGCTTTTTCCAGGTATTCCTTACCGTCGAGGGTACTTACTTTACGGTCCGCCTGGCTGTGGGAAATCTTCCTTTATAACTGCCCTTGCTGGCGAGCTCAATTTTGGTATTTGTGTACTGAACTTAAGTGAGAGAGGGCTGACGGATGACCGATTAAATCATCTTCTTAGCGTAGCTCCGCAGAACACAATAATCCTACTAGAAGATATAGATGCTGCCTTTGTTAGTCGAGAGGACAACAAACAGCGTGCGGATTATTTTTATTTCATAATCTTTTTCTATAATAAAATTATTTAATAATAAAATTTTTATTTTTTTAGTGGCAACAGCTTATGAGGGCCTTAACCGGGTTACATTTTCTGGACTTTTGAACTGTCTTGATGGCGTTGCAAGCACAGAAGCACGAATTGTTTTTATGACTACAAACTACATTGACAGGTAATTGTTAAGAAACAATCAAATAATTTAATCATAGCACTTTTTCAAACTTGACAGACTAGATCCAGCTTTGGTCAGACCTGGACGAATTGATCTGAAGGAGTTCATTGGCCATTGCACCGAGCATCAATTGAACAACATGTTCAACCGTTTTTACCAAACGCCCGACAAGGATTTCTCAACACAATTTGCCCAATTAGTCTTGAGCGAAAAAAAACCTGTCAGTGCCGCTCAAGTACAAGGTTACTTCATGCGGCACAAGAAAGATCCTCCGGAGTTGGTCGTCGAGAACATACAGCAAATTTGGGAGGGCTGAAATTGTTTTTATTCTGTAAATATAGTACAATCCTTAAATCAAGCCTTGATTCCTTGAAGTATCTCCTTGAAAATTTCATTCACTATCTTTATTATTGTTTTACTAACAGCGTTGAGAATACGTTTTTCAAACCAGGTCGTACTGATATTCAAAACCTGTTGGATGATCCAAGTTGATATCTCTGACCCTTTTAAATTTATCACCATGGGCCTACAATAAATCACAGAGTTAATCCATTTATTCTTAAATGGACAAATAAAAATCTCACCCAGTATCAGCAAAATCCAGGCTTGTCACCGAAGCATTTAAAGCTTTTGTGTCCATGGCCACTTCAAAATTTACTTTTAAATCATTAATAATGGACTCGGTTAGAAGATTCTGTGATAAAAAATTGTAATATCCACTCGCTTCAAAGTAATAATTGATCTTAAATAAAAAATAATAAAAATTAAATGTTTCATTAATGTGAAATCTATAGAACAAACCTGGATCCTTTTAAAATTAACTCCAATATCCAATTGAAGTACATTTCCTTTATATGAAATAAAAGAATCTTTAGAGCGTCCTATTGTGGTAATATTGTAGATGCTTCCATTGTATAATTTATACATCGTGAAGATTTTACTGAGCCAAGTTGTCTGCAAATTTTTCTTTCATTATTACTCTTTAATTTCAATGAATGATGAGACAAGATTCTATATTTCTTACAATATTAAATTTATTTTATTATATATTTTGTTATTACAAAGTACTATTTGTTGTTACAAAGTAACAAGTTAGTAATTTGATCTATAATTAAATAAAATTTATGTTCACTTACATTATCTACATGTTCAGTCTCATTAACTAATGGAAAGTCATCTAGCGGCAATCCCTGTGCGTTGTTTTTCACGTTGTAAATAACTGTATCCAAAAACTTATTAAGGCTTTCATTCCTCCTATAAAAATCACTGTTAATTATACCGTTTAAATTCTAATGAATAATAATTAAACAGACCAAGAATCGTATTCAGGATTCTGCGCAGTCGAAAGTGAAAAATAAATGGAAAAGGTTACAAATAAGAATATTAAATACATTTGTAAAATCAGAGCAGATTTGTATTAGGTATAAAACAACTTATCAGTGTGGGTCATGCAGGTGACAACACACTGGCCACTTGAATTTTATCAAAACAGATTATATCTATTGATTGGTTAGATTAATTGAAAAATGGGGTGCTGACAAATTGAGATTGCCATTAAAAAAATTAAAGCAATTTAACAAATAAAGCAGATCAGAACCATGTGTATGTAAGGAGAAAATGAAAAAAAAAAATTATCTGACACTAAATAATCTTTGTTCTGTGAACGAAGTTTGTGTTGTTTCTGTGTAGATTATGAAATATACTTTTTAAAGCGAATATCCTTAAACTAATGGGTCAAGTATAAAAATAAATAAAAAAGTTAATTCTTAAATAACAGTATCTGCCGTGTGTCACTAAGGCAACCAAATAGACAATGGAACATTCTAGACTTGGATTTTTTCTTTTTCTTCTGGCCTTGTATTGAAGTAATTTAATCTGGCTTAAATGTTAAATATAAGCAATTCAAGAGGAGACTACCACTGGAGCCAAAAACATTATTATATTTTACAATAGTACTAATGTTTTTATTCAAACTTTATCTATTTGTTATAATATAACGGTTCTTATTGTATATAACATGCTAAAAGATGTATACCATGTACATACAGACTTACTTATCATACTATTGTTACTTGCACCACTCCTTGATCCATATAGAGAGGTTTAGTTATGCCTTCAGATATGAAAATCATACTTGAGCATGGAGGGGGAATATCAAGTACTCCACCACACCAAGTGAGTGGCATGTAACAAACTGAATTTAAGAGAGAGTGGGAGTGGATGGGTTTAGATTTAGATTGCGTTAGGGGTGAAATGACTTAGCTGTTGATGCATCCAAACTTCGGCAGCTGGAAGGACAAGACCAAGTCTGACCCCATACTGCCAACATGTGAAGATCTATGCACATGCAGATTTATGCAAATAGGAGAGAAAAGTCACAAGTAACATTTTACACTAAGGAGCCACGGGCAAGGTTTTGGAGGTTGATCAACAACCTGAAGCTGGCCAGTGAGTTGTAAAACCCAAAGGAGCACAAAAGACCTCCTCAGATCAAGGTGCGGAAGGCTTTAACGCCACCACTTTTATCCCTAAAATCCTTTATTTAATTTTTTTTATTTTATAACTATAAACCTGCATTATTTTCTGGACAACCCAGTATAACCTAGAGATTTCTCATTTTTAGACTTTTGAAGACCTGATCAATTTTTTTCTGTTCATTCCGTAAATTGTGTCCTTTATAGATTTTGGGGCAATGAGCCCACCTCAGACAAAAGGGATGTAATACATACATTTAATTTATCTCCATAAAGGCAAGTTGGTAGTATTTTTCCATGAGGTACTTGTGGGCCATATTTGTATGCTCTATATGTAATCAACATACTATGACCTCATCAAGCCTGGAAGTTTGGATGTTTCCCAATATTTTTAAAAAATTGAACAACACTCATTCCACCATTCATCATTTCTATGGATGTTTCCCAAGGTTTAACAGTCTCTTTTATGTTTCTGTTGAAAGTGGTTTGTCTCCACTGATTTTCTCAAATTTCAATTAATTTAAATTTGAAAGCAGATTTTAATCTTCAGGCTTTATTAAAACTGAGATGATAGTATTGTTCTATGTAGCTTTTGCTAGTGCAATTGACGGTGTTGTTTCCATTGCCCCGCCCAGTGAGGATTGAAAAAATTGTCGGTAATGATCAAATTACATAAAGCATATCTTAAGATCTTAAAAAGTAAAGAGCTGAATAGTTTTCCTTGAGGAACTCCAGACAATACTTTATAAGTATATTATAATCTACACATTATAATATAATTATTCTACTTAATTAATTATATATTCATTTGTTAATTAATTAAAGAAATAGAAAATATTTCAAAGACAGATGACGGTTGAAACTTAGGAAGGTCTCTTTTATTTGTTTTCTCCCCGTCCCTTTCATCAACGCGGTTCTGGATTCAAATAAAGGCGGCTGCAACGTGTCAGAAATGTTTAGTACTGTTTTTTGTTATTATTAATTTTTATAAATATTTGATCACAATCTCCATTCACGGTTGTTGCTCTTTTGGAGGGCGGATAAATGAAAACAGGTGAAAAATGCCGTGAGGCAATTTTGTGTGGCTCCCTTGTCGATCCTGGAGGCGCGATTCATTTGGCCATTTTGGCGATCGTTTGTTTTGACTTTAGGGCCGATATCTCGCTTTTAATAAATTGCATTCGCTGGGGTGCAAAATGTTATATTTCGTTTTAATCGCGGAAGTGTTTATGAATTTCAGAAACAAGATTTTATGATTTTACCGCAATGACTCCTTTACTGTTCTTGGAAAATATCGACAAAACTCGCCGCTAGTTAAGGTTAAGTTAGTGTTTGGTTCTCGAGAGGAATTGATGGATTTTAAATTGTAGCGTGATGAGTTTTTCAAGTGACGAAGTGAATTTCCTCGTGTACAGATATCTGCAGGAATCAGGTAAACGTCCAGGAAAAGGAGGCGGGTGGTGTTTGTCCGTTTACACCGCCCCCCGGGCGTTTGTCTCACCGACACATTGTGGCCCGTCTCCCTTCAGTGATCCTCTCACTATTTCCTCCTTCAAAAACTCCATTACTCACACGAACGCATTTCAAATTTTTTCTACTTCGGCAGGGTTTCAGCACTCCGCGTACACGTTTGGCATCGAGTCACACATCGCCCAGTCTAACATAAACGGCGCCCTGGTCCCTCCGGCAGCCCTTTTGAGCATCCTGCAGAAAGGTCTCCAGTACACAGAAGCGGAAATCAGCATAGGCGAGGTACAACCGACACTTACAAAAATTATTGTCAAAATATAAACTACTAGCTAGGGAAGTATGAAAATATGAATAATTAATTGCAAATTTATTATTTTTGCAGAAATTTTATTTGTTGATTTACATTCTTTTTATTTTTACATGAATATACCACACTAGTAACCTGTTGGGGCCAGGTTACTCTTGCCCATAAATGTCAATACTATAATTGAAATTGTGCTCAACTGTTATTTTATTCTTGCATACACTTTTGCTTTCCAGAAGGTCAAGGCACTTTTTCAGACTAAATTTATGTTTGGTTTCCATTGTGCAAAACTCATGCAACAGTTTTGTTTCTCACGAAATGCTTTCTCGGGTTATTCATTTCTACGAGGTGAAACAACGTGAGCTGTCAGTTGTTCTTGTTCTCATGAGTTTTATCTTTACCATCCTAAAAAAATTGGTAGCTGTGATACATCCTTATAAGTGAATCATTCTCATAGTTGGGACAAGTGCGTTTAATGAAACAAACAACGCAACACTTTGATGCGCACCAAAAAAACCGACAGCCGGTCGGTTCACCCCCAAACATCTTCACACCGGAAGTTCCGCAGTCCCGGCTAGTTGTTCAAAATGCCAGACAAGATTCGCAAAACGTTAGTGCGAGTAGTTTTGTGCTTTGCGCAGTGGAAACCCAGCTTTTTGATGCTAAACCGTGTTTCTCTGCCTAAAGTCTCATCTGCTAAGAATCCCCCCCAGCCTGTTTTATTTTGCATCGTGTATCACAATTCGAAGTGTTCACTTCAAATTGCTGTTGCTACTTTTGATATTCTGCATTCCAATTTTGTTCAGAATTTGACATTACATTCTCAGATATAGTTTTCAGCGGAAATAAGTAAATGGAAGGAGAAAAACAAAAAGTTGTATTTAAATGAAAATTTATTTTTCACAATAAGTGTTCACTATTAACAAAATCTAAAAGAATGTAGTATGGGCCTGTAAAAAAAAGGAAACCTCGCTTAGTGCGATTTTAATTTTTTTCAATTACTGAGGTTATCACATGCATTAATGTATGCTACTGTTATTATAAAGTTAGTTATGGTAAAACAGTAATATTATTGACATTATTAAGAAAGTGTAGATTTTTAATAGCTTTATTGTATAAACATACAAAAATTATATACCAAAGGGAAGTAAAAATACACATTCATTTATTATGAACTTGAGGAAAAAACCTGGACATGGATAACTGGCTGAGCAAAAAAATTTTTCTTCTTGAATTCATAATAAATGGATAATGTATAGATGGAGAGATAGATATATTAGTCGGTGTATCTGTAATACTGTGCCCTTTAAGAGCTATTGTGTCCCCCATTCTATGCTTAAAGCTCACCGGTAAGTCCTAGTTCATCAAGAAACTTGATTAGTAGGTTTCTCCTGCGGGAAAATAATACATAGTTCAGTGCTGTAAACTTAATTGAATACATAATAGAATTATAAAAATAAAAAGTGGATTGTAATGCATATTTATTTGTTTTAAGGATGGTTCTGAACAACGGTTGGTTGAGAGTCTATCTCTCATTGATGCTGTCATGCCTGATATTGTTGCCACAAGGCAAAATCAAGCGAACCAGCAGAAGCCGGTAATTAAAAATGAACCGCAAGATACAAATGGTGAAGAAGGTAAAGGTAAAGAACAACATTATAACTAACTACATAATTAAGAATGGTTTAATATTATTATTAATATTGCAGGCCCGGCTCCACCCTGCTCTCAGGGCGAGGTTAAAAAGGAGGTTGACGTTAGCATTGAAATCCCAGCCAGCAAGGCTACTGTGCTACGAGGGCACGAGAGCGAGGTGTTCATCTGTGCCTGGAACCCAACAACTGATCTCTTAGCGTCAGGGTATGTATTGAAACATTTTATCGATTTAAAAAGTGTTAATGTTTTAATAATTTTTTTCTGTCCAGTTCTGGCGATAGCACTGCAAGAATATGGGACATGTCGGACAACTGTACCTCCCCAAATCAGCTAGTTTTAAGACATTGCATACAAAAAGGTGGAACAGAAGTACCCAGTAACAAGGACGTAACATCTTTAGATTGGAATGTATGTTTATTGCGTTATGTAATAAAATTTTATACAATTTCATGTGAAATAATTCGCAATAAAACTTTTTGGTTTAGTGCGATGGAGGATTTCTAGCAACAGGGTCTTACGATGGTTACGCCAGAATTTGGACGACTGACGGTCGACTTGCCAGCACATTAGGTCAACACAAGGGTCCAATTTTTGCTCTCAAGTGGAATAAAAGAGGAAACTACATTCTAAGTGCTGGTGTTGATAAAGTAATTTTTATTAGAAAAAAGTTGAATTTAGTGAATGAATATTCATTGATGTTATTGAACAATATTTTAGACAACGATAATATGGGATGCTGGTAGTGGTCAGTGTACGCAACAGTTTTCGTTCCACTCTGCGCCTGCCTTGGACGTAGACTGGCAGACGAATACCAGTTTTGCATCATGCAGCACTGACCAGAGAATCCACGTTTGTAGGCTGAATGCTGACAAACCCATAAAATCATTTCAAGGACATACGGTAAAGTTGTTTAAAATCAATTATAATTTCAAATCAAATTTTAATTTATAAAATTATTATTATTATTTTTCAATAGAATGAAGTCAACGCTATTAAATGGGATCCTCAGGGGAATCTCCTAGCCTCGTGTTCTGACGACATGACATTGAAGATATGGTCCATGAAGTATGATACGTGTGTGCATGATTTGCAAGCTCATAATAAGGAAATTTATACTATCAAGTGGAGCCCGACAGGTCCTGGGACTGCAAATCCCAATATGAATTTAATACTTGCAAGGTTATTATTTAAATTAGTCGTGTAAACGGATTGATATAATTGTCATACTTAATTTATTTATGTTGTTACAGTGCTTCATTCGATTCTACTGTGAGACTTTGGGAAGTTGAAAGAGGAGCTTGCATTCATACACTCACGAAACATACTGAACCTGTCTACAGCGTGGCATTTTCTCCAGATGGAAAATTCTTAGCTTCAGGCAGTTTTGACAAATGTGTTCATATCTGGTCAACACAGGTGATATTTTTTGTCTAGAATAATTATATTTGAAAGACTGATTTTTTTTCTCTCTCCGTAGAGTGGGCAATTAGTACATAGCTATAAAGGAACTGGTGGGATTTTTGAAGTATGTTGGAACTCTAGGGGTGATAAAGTAGGTGCAAGTGCATCTGATGGAAGTGTAAGTTTATTTATTTTTGAAAATCAAATCAATCACGTTTCTGATGAGACAGTTGTTAAAATGTTTGTTGTTATTAGGTTTTCGTGCTCGATCTTCGCAAGCTGTGATCATTGTTAAGGGTGTAGAAACCCGACCGAGCTCAAATCATAAAATGATCTTCCTTCAAACACCTATCATGCTTGATATAACATTAAGTGATTTGTAGATTGTAAATGTATAGCAAGATTCGTACACTATACCTACCTCCATAGTGAACATTTAACAAATTGGGCGATGGATATGGTGCAAGTGATATGGTTGTTGATAAGCCGAGTGGAACAGTGATGAGCCCGTGTGTTCTCAAGAAGCAGACAGAACTATGAAAAAAAAATTACTGAAAGAATCTGAAAGTGGATTACAATGTTGAAAGACATTGTTTGTAATAAATTTTATTATAGGATTATTTATTACAAATGTGTGGTGTGGGAAAAAATTACAAAACCTGTAAATTCTCCAGTTCTCCCTTAAAAGATCCTCATATTTTTAGTTATGGATAAGATAAGAAATATTTCTTATTGGGAGGATTTTTTTTTTTTTAATTATTATATATCTTGACCTATAATACAAATTGTATATATATTGATTATTGATACTTTATTACGCTATTTTTGTTGAAGAGACAGACCTCAATCCATTCTATATATATATAAAAAAATGTTATGTTCAGTTAATTTATTCCTCCTCCGTCCATTTAATTTTTTTAATATACTGATTTAATTAATGTGTCAGGAAAAAGTGTTAATTGTTTATATATCAACTGTATGAATCACAAAAACAGATTAAAGGCTATTTTTCATCAAAACAAGAATAAAATTGAAATGTTTTCATTTGAACTACACTGTTGTATGAGCATGAGCGGTTTGTGAAATCATCTGAAGACAGACCAACAAATACTACAAATTTGGTGGTAATCAATTTATGCTGCATGATAACTTGTACCTACAAAATTGATATTAATAAATGGAATAGCAAATAACCCAGCAACTACCAATTCAGTTTAGTTCAGAACAATTCGGTATGGATCGTTTTACTGCCATAGCCCCAGAGCTGGATTCTATAGTCCACATATCTGTTGATAAAGAAAAAGCTTACTTTCAATGGGCAAAACTGATTGAACCGGAATTTGATGATAATTCTTCACTCTTTTTTTTGTTTGCTTTAAATATGCTTTCCAACGCAAAAGTCACACCTAGATGCTTTGATGTACAGAATTTCAATACTGTTATGGCGATATGTATTGAATTTTCTAGTTGGTGAAGTCCACATGTCTGATTTTGCTTTATTCTCTTTTTGTGTCCATTTATAAATTTGGGAAATTGTTTATTAGAGTCAATTGAGCATTACTTACTGGCTGGAAGGCCTGTTGACAAAGAAAAAGCTTACTTTCAACGGGCAAAACTGATTGAATCGGAATTTGATGATAATTATTCACTCTTTTTTTGTTTTAAATGTGGTTTCCATCGCAAACATCACACCTAGATGCTTTGATGTACGGAATTTCAAGACTGTTAAGGTGATATGTATTGAATTTTCAAGTTGGTGAAGTCTACAAGTCTGATTTTTCTTTATTCTCTTTTTTTTTGTCCATTTATAAATTTGGAAAATTGTTTAATAAGTGAGTCAATTGAGTATTACTTAGTTATTTCATTAAAGACACAATTATTTTTTTTAAAACTATTCTTGTTGGTTGTTTATCAATATTTAACATCATAATTGTTAAAGCCTTGAATCGAAAAGGCTCTTGTACCAATTGATTATTAGTTCTTATTAATCTATAGATTTTTGTTGTCGAAAACAAATTACAAATATCTTTGGATATTTTTTCTTTATTTGAACAATTTAAAACAAGTGAAGGTTTTAGACAATAAAGACAGGTAAGACAATATTTTGTGACATTATAATTATTAAGAAAAAAAGGATATTGTAATAAAGATATTAAATACGTAATATACAAATATAAAGTACAAAATTTCCACATATTTATTGCACCTTATTAAACACATCTTATCGTTATTCAGTTAGTTTGCAGTATCACCAGAAAAGTTATAAACATGACACTCGGAATAATAGGTGAGGCTCCATTAATGCATGTTTTGACAACAGATACTTTTTCCAGTTTCCAATGCGTGAGCATGCTATTAATGCTCTTCAGACTTGCTTGTGACATTGTTTTGGATCTCGAAAGCACTGAGCTGTAAAGTGAAACGCCAGTGGTGCAAAATTTGAGCACCATGTGATCTCCGACAGCTTTCAAGACTTCGACGGTACCGGACATGTCCATTTGGGCATTGTCTGAAACAATAATCATTTTATAAATTAGTTTTTTTTTTAGATGCTGACTTTCAACTAACCTGTACTCTGTCTCCCGATCACCCAGACTCCTGGTTGACTCGAATCGTAAATACTGAAGAAGTAGAATTGTTGGAATATGCCTTCTCTCAGTTCTGCCCTCATGACTTGGGTCTGGTGTCTTTGATCGTCTTGATTTTGGTACAAGCGTAACTCTGGGCAGACATCGCGTGTGCTGTACCCCTCCGGAATGGAGTTGTTCGGCTTGTGATAAACTGTCTGAACCACATACCACAATCCTTGTATCTAAAAATTAATAATGTACATCTACTCTCATTCAATGCAATTTGAAAATACTGTAAATAATAAATAAATTTAAAAAAATATTAAATTAAAAATGACTGTAAATTTATAATAAATAAATTAAATAACTAATAATGTGTAAAGTTTTTCAAAAGTGAAAATTGTTGGAACAAGTTGGAACTTCCCTGACTAGCAATCTTAATACAATCACTGAAGTGAAGCACAAAGGGTGACAATTTTTAGAAAAATTATCAACCAGTTGTAAATAATTGTCAAATAAAAGAGGTTTTATGAATGATTAGTTTATTATTTACTAAAATACGAAAAATTTACTTACAGCTTGTAGATTTAGGCTCGTTTGGACGACGGAAGAAGAACAGTACTGCATAGAACTGCGGCCAGTTAAGTCGTTCCACCTTTCTCCATTTACTGCAAGGAGTTTCACAAACAGGAACAGAAATCCCAGAAGGGCTTCCATTGCTGAAATAAATATTTTTTTATTGTGTAGTTTTTGTTTGCTGTAAAATTTAATATTAACGGCTTTGAAGGGAACTTAAAAGAATCCGATTTTGTTTTTCAACTGAAATGTTTTTTGACCTAACTTACTGGAAGCGAAGTTTTGTTTTTTAACTTTTTATTAATCTAATATCATTTATTACAATTGTGCATACTTTTTTTTATCCTAAGACATAAATCAAAATCAACTAATATACAATAACCTTGAATACAAGCAGTAGAAAGCAGAAAATATATAAAAATTTGTTTTCTCAGCTCCTAGGTGTTACCCATTACATTTACCCATTAGCAAGAACGATCGGACACTTTTCTCTATCTTTCTCATTTTATCTCTCTCTCTCTCTCTCTCTCCACCCTCTCTCTCTCTCTCCACCCTCTCTCTCTCTCTCNTCTCTCTCTCTCTCTCTCTCTCTCTCTCTCTCTCTCTCTCTCTCTCTCTCTCTCTCTCTCTCTCTCTCTCTCTCTCTCTCCCCCTTCTTTCTACCTAATCTGTCTATATACTTAATATTAATTTAGCCACATATATACTTCTTTCTATTCTATTCCTATGTTATATCTTTCTATGAGTAGTAAAAGCCATTCAAACGCTGAAATATGAAACATAAACAAATATTAAATATTCCTCTAGTTTAGTATCAAGTTTGCCAAAAATTTTCATAATTAAAGAAACAATTATATTATAGTAGCATAGTTATGTTTGTAGGGTATCATTATAAATCATTGCCATAAACAACTCTTGGCTGTAAGGCAAAAAAGTGCATAATTTGTTGTTAACGCGCGAAATGTATAACCTAAGTTTTCTTGATTAAAAAATTATATAAAATAAAGGAAAAATATAGGATATCATAAAGAATCAGATCTTCAACGATCCTCTTTTTTTTACCATGTCTATTACTTAATTAGTTAACAACAAGAGGAAAAAGCCTCTGCAGTAAATTATTATTTCTTATTAAAACGCCGAATTCTGTCTTTCTTTATTGCTATAGAATTTTATTTTCTTCATTTCGAATCTTTATAGATTTATCAGTGCATAAAAAATTTTGAATATAATTAATAGAAAACAACAACAACATTGGAATGAGCATAAAGTCGAGTTCGATCGCATGTACCAACGAGAAGAGACAGACTCTAAGGACTTGTTTTAAAATCGTAGACGATTATATTATTTTTTAATGTAAGAAGATATGCAAGATAAAGATATTTATGAATTTAAGCATAGCTCATTTCCCCCCTCCCCCCAAAGGTCACACAACAGAGTTCATGTCAAGTTGTCGATGTTTATGAAAAAAGACCATTATGTAAGTATGTTGGGTTCTTTACCTTAGTATAAACAACTTAACCGTTGCGGCCACCAACGCCCTCAATATAGCTCATGTTAATAATAATAATAATAATAATAATAATCCGGTATATAATTTTGTGAGATGCTTGTAGATATATTCTTCAGTATAAATTTAGCATTTAAGTTGTATGTATGTTATAAAAATACTGTTAATGACACAATAGTTTGCGGTGTCAGCTCGCGAGCTTTCTCAGAGGGTGTTATTGGGTTGTCCGGAAAATAATGCAGGATTTTGGTATTAAACAAAAAAAAAGAAACTAGTTACTTTAAAGCAATGTTCTTTAATCAAAATAATTTCCCATACTCTCAATACATTTCTCCCAACGTGTTGGTAACTTATTAATTCCGTCTGAGTAGAATTCAGAATTTTTAGAATTGATAAAGTCAATAAATGCATTTTCCAGTTCCGTTTGATTTTTGAATATTATGTGTTGTAAGTAGTGGTCCAGGTGTCTAAAAAAATGGTAGTCAGTAGGCGAGAGGTCCGGAGAGTAGGGTGGGTGAGGCAAAGTTTCATAGCCAAGCTCCAATAATTTTTGTGACGTTACACGTGACACATGTGGTCGAGCGTTGTCATGCAACAAAATGGGCCCTTTCCGATTGACCAAAGAGGGCTTCATTACTGCCAATTTCTGATGCATGGTATTAATTTGGTTACAGTATGATTCAGCATTGATGGTTTCGCCAGGATTTAAGAAGCTGTAGTGTATTAAACCAAATGAAGCCCACCATACCGTAACCATTACCTTTTTTTGATGAGTTGGGGGCTTTGGAGCTTCTCCTTTGTCGAGCCACTGTCCAGAACGTCTAGTGTTATCGTAGAGAATCCACTTTTCGTCACATGTAACAATTCTGGCCAGAAATGGGTCATTTTTGTTTCGACAAAGAAGTGATGCACAAACATCAAAGCGCTGATTTTTTGGCGATCGTTTAATGAGTGTGGAACCCAATTTTCGAGTTTTTTCACTTTTCCAATCGCCTTGAGGTGGTCAGCGACGGTCGTTTTACTGACTTTGAGTTGCTCTGCAAGTTCTCGAACAGTTGTTTTGGGGTTTTCTTCCACCACTGATCGCAGAACATCATCATTAAGAGAGGAAGGCCTTCCACGACCTTCTTCATCTTCAAGGCTGAAATCTCCCTCCCGAAATTTTTTAAACCACCTTTGCACAGTGCACTCATTAACACAACCCTCGCCCCAGACTTGGTTAATGTTTCTAGCCGTTTGGGCTCCGCTTCGGCCGAGTTTAAACTCGTAAAAGAAAATCGTACGAAATTCTCGCTTTGACATTATAAGGATGACTGAATTATTTCCAAGTAGCGGAATGCTACAGAGGTAAACAAACAATATCATTTGGAAGAGGATTAATAAGTGTTGACATTCATACAAATGAGTAATCCTGTAAACGTAAACAGAATATTTTATATAGATTTTTTTTAATGAAAACTTAAAATCCTGCATTATTTTCCGGACAACCCAATAGTTTTGTTGTTTTTCCATAAACAATATTGTTTGACAATTATGTAAATTTTTGTGGGTAAACTTTGGAATTAAAACATAAACGCATCATTCGTATAATTAAAAGAAACTTTTTTCGATATCTCGTTCTACCAAATGTTGATATGAAGATGAACAAATTGTATAAATCAAACCCGTACGATTTTAATTTGGAATTAATATAATTAAAATAAATAGTACGATATAATTAAATTAATGATTAAATTTGTAAAGACGGAACGCAGTCAAAATTGACTCACCAGATGGAGATCCCGCTGTTCCAGGGTGAGAGACGTCTCTAAACTCTTTGGAATGGTGGCGGACAACCCCACCATTGAGACTCGTCTTTCTACAGGGCAAAGGGCGACCCGACTATTAACTCATTTTACACCATTCAGGAAATGCACGAGTCGACTAATTTACAAGAATTGATGCTTTCGTCGCTTTTTTAACGGGAGGCACGAACGAAGGACGTAAGGAGATAATACATCACAAAAATAAAATGACATTCTCATAAACTGTCTCTCACACGGGTGTCAACAGAAATCAGTGTTTACCCTCATCAAATAATTTGGATTGATCTAAAATTTTAGCATAAAGTACTTAAATTTTCCCTGAATATTTTCACCCTAAAATATATTCAAATAGCTTAATTACCTAGCGGCTAATTCATTGCAAATAATTATTATCAACTCTGCTCGTACTATTAGAAGTTATTTCTTACGCTCTTATTACTGACGCGAAAACATTCAGGAAAAAATATTTTGAGAACATTGACGGGGATGAGAAAGACAAAACGAGAAAAAATAAGAGAGGGACGAGGGAGATGAAGAAGATAAAATTTGAATGATAGATGGCGTAAAGAGCATGGTAAAGAGCGAATGAGGGAGAGAGGGAATGAGAGAAAGTGAGGGGCCGAGATAGAGAGAGAGAGAGAGAGAGAGAGAGAGAGAGAGAGAGTGAGAGAGAAAGATTTGAGGGAGGATGAAACTGCTGGCAGGCTGAAATGTACTTTATTTTGGTAGATGGTCATATATATAAAATAATCCGTTAATATTTATAAAAATTAAATAATAACAACCTTTTTTGTTTCCTGTTTACAATTGATGGGCTTCGAAGGTTTCCTTCGCGCTTTCAGAGAAAATTCCTGCTATCTTGGAGGCGCTAACGCGAAGAGCCGTTCGACGTTTTCACTTTAGCATACTGAGGTAAACGATTATGTTTCGCACTAGCTCCTTCGGAAGGAGGGGTTGGGTCAATTAGCGAATTGGTTCAATTTACAAGAACCTGTGGGTGTAGCCTTCATCCTCCTTGGAGAGCTATTTTACATTTCTGGGTAAGCGCTCCTACGCACTGTGACAGTCCAACACGAACGAATACTATTGTCTACTAACTACAAATTGACAACGAGACGTTGTTCCCTTAAAGAAGATTTTTTTGTACTATTCAAGAAAAAAAAAATAGATAGGTAGTTGACAAGAGTTTATTTAGTACTGTCAACTATAGCTTTTTTAATTTTATTGATCATGTTTTCATATCGTCGGCACCAAAAGTAACGAATGTGAAAAACTGCAATTTCCAGTTTCATTGTTTTACCGTGGCACTATAAAAAACCATTAGATTAAAATAAACACCTTGAGGTAAAATTTCGAATCTCAACCGTGTCCAGGAGACCAGGATCATCTATATTATTTTGACTAATTTCTACCTTTGTTAGCTATATTCATGGTAAAGTAACAATAATCATGTTCGAATGTTAATTAAGATGGTGATACCAACTTACACCTCGCCATAGTTGTCACCTGAAGTTGTAATGTTACCAACTTTCAACATAGTTGCTTACCCGAGGTATTAGCAATGTTACCATGCTATCATGCTACAGTAACGAATAATCATGTTCGAAAGTTATTTCTTATTAAGCTTATCTGAAGTGGTGATAAAAACTTACATTTCAGCATAGTTGCCTAAGTGAGGCTGCAGTAAAGTTACCAACTTGCACCTTAGCATGGTTGCCTATCTGAGGCGGAGCAATGTCAACGACTTACACCTTTGCACAGTTGGCTACTAATAAGATTTCAAAAGAAAAATCCATTGCAATTAAAGTTTATTGTAAACTAATAGAAAATTGCATATTCTATACTATTCATTATATTTCGTGGTCCGATTGACCAAATAACTTTTTTCAATTAATTATTCTTTATGTAAGGCATTGGATGAGATAAAAAAGTCAGTGCCACGAGCGGGATTCGAACCCACGATTTTTGGCTAAATACGCCGCTGCTCTACCACTTGAGCTATCGTGACTTCGATCCACTCGGACACCAACTTCCCATCTCAACCTACCTTTCGATTCTACTATCCTTTCAAATTAGAGACACTCCATCACAAACATTCATATATTTGATTAATTTATAATTTTGCTAACTGTTTAAAATTTATGAAAATGATATCAATGGCAGTACAACATTAGTACACTTTATGAGACCTAATTAAATTTAAGCTCAAAAACTCACTAAATACAAGTTTAATTTGTTTGTGTGTTTCATTCGTTAGTTTGTTGAACTGTGAACATATTTGTTTCTTTGTATGCTTTCAAGTGTGTGTTCGTTTGTTTATGGGCTTGTTTATTGATTTATTTGTTTATCATCTATAAAAAAATATACATTTGTTCTACCGCGATGTTCTAATTTCTAATTTCACACTGTTTCAGGGACGTAGGAACTTGCAGGACAATTGTTCATAACCAACCATTGATTAATCAAATAATACCAAAATATATGTAAGTAATGAGATGAAGATTACATTTTTAATCAAATAAATTAAACATAAAACATTTAGACTTATACAAAGAGATAATCTTGAGAAAGGTAAAAGATCATTTTAAATTTCATGTTAAAAACTCTTAAAATGTAGGTAATAAATATCGTAATAGTTAACTAATAAACAATTGGCATTAGACAAAAGCGTAGCGTAAAACAAGGTTCAATTCTCCCGCAGAGGCCATTCGAAATGAATCATATTATGCAAATAGTAACTGACAAGAGGGAGTGAAAATGCCATAAAAAATGAAAAATTTCCGCCAGTGCATAAGACAGATTTAGTAATAATAATCTTGCAAAAGTTTATCACCAATAAAATAAATTTCTACATATTTATATATTGTATATTAGAAGTAAATACTTTATAACTATTATCATTTCAAAAGTTAAAAATGTATTTAATATTTTTATGCCTGAGTGTTTTAAAATTTTTAGATTTACAATCCCCTCATTTGCGTAGTTTCTATAAAAATTACTACGCATTTCTTTGACCTTCTTAATCAATGAAAATTGTCTTCTTAATTACAACCTTTCTGCTTCATTTGTCTGTCCAAGTTTTTTTTTTTGTATTTGTATTTATAATGTATTTTTATTAATTTTTTAAATGTATTTTCTTATACACTTTTGCGACCATTTCTCTGTTCACTTCTATCCTGGAAGCTTCTCGTCCTAAGTGTTCTATTTACTGCTTGTAACCGTTTTGAATCATATTTCTTTTTCGCTAATTTCTAGTCCCGCTATACATTCGCATAGTACCGTTTTCTAGTTTTCCAATCGAGAATGTCTGTGAATTTGTACTATTCCTTTCTCACTCTTAAAGTAATCTTCTAAGATCTTTCAAACAATTGTACACTCTATCTACAAACCATTGATATAATTGTTCATAACACTCTTGATGTGCAATGTGAAAGTTAAAGTTAGTAGTTCAGTAGTAGTTCGGCGAAATAATAGTAAAGAACAAATCGATCATGTGTCCCAATGGGAATTATTGTCTTTCTTACTATTACAGATTATTTTCTTCTTAAAGCAAAACCAGAAAAAGGCTTGTTTAGATTTTTTGAATTGCGATCTAAGGACAAAAACTTTTGCTTTTTAGTGGGGAAGTGCACAAAATATTTAAATTTCTATAATTTTGTATTGTTGTATTAACAACTTTCAAAGTAGATCTAGTAGTTTTAAACTCACGGGGATAGTTGGATATAGGTTAAACCATGTATGGGTTAGTTGAAAGAAAAGACAATCAAAAATTAATTTTTGTACATTTAGAAAATGTAAACATAAATAAATAATTACCAAATATTCACAAGGTTAAGGGTAAATTAGTAGTTCATAAATAAGAGGAACATAAAAATTAGAATTGCGCTTGGGGCGATAGTTAGAGCACCTCCCTTGCAGGTCTTGAGGACGGATACTTTCGGCAGCCTCCTCCGCTCCAACATTTTGTTGACACCGGCAATTTTGTCTTTGTGGAGGCGTTTCGTCCTCGACAGGACGATGCTGTACAGCACGGTCCCAGGAGTGCAGAAAGTCAGTACCATGTGGTTTTCATCCACTCCCAGGACCTCCACAGTGCCGGCGAAATGAGTGTAGACGGTATTGGGCGGGAGTATGACTGAAAAAGAAACTGTTTTCACTCTTTTTGTTCAAGCTGTTGAGTTTTTATTACCGTTCTGAAATCCCGACGTAAGCCAGAAACCAGGGTCTTTCGAAGGTTGGGGGATGTTAAATAAATACTCGTCGTGGAAGGTGCCTTCTTGCCACCACATTTTCAGACTGTAAGGCAGCAGTGGGTCGCCTCTTTCTTCGACCTGAAACTGCAGGACTGGACACGTTTCACGCCAGCTGACGCCGGCGGGTGTAGAGTTGCGCGGGCTGTGGTGTATCGTCTCCAACACAAACCACATACCTTCAATCTGAAAAATCATATACTATATGTATACAAATACACATATACATTCATATGTAATAACAAGAATTAAAATGGCGTGAAGGCTGGAAAGATAAGTCGTTCAATGACAACTTTACTTAGTTGTTATTAAATAGGCCCCTTGGCCAATGTCGTTTTAGACGGCGGGTTGACCGGCGGACTTTGTAGGGAGCATATTTGTTGGACAAGTGGTTTAATGGTATACTTACGGAGATCTGGAATTTTGTGTATCGGGAAAGGATGAGTTCTTTTACAAAAGGAATTTGGCGTGATCGGTGTGTAGGGTAAGGTTCGAGATGTATTGGTGATCTTACAGATTGGTTATCTTATCTTCGATTGCAGTGGCTGAATTCATCAATTCCTATTTTGATTTCATTTGGAGTGAAATGTTTCTGAGGAGAAGATAAGGGTAAAGCTTCGTCCAAAATTGCGTTTAATTATATTAATTATTAATTAATATTATTTGGTCTGAGTGTGTTTAATCTAGTTTGTCAGTGGACAAACTAGTATGGATCTAATCTTTGATCTAGTATGGAGTGAAGACACTATCAAGTTATTTAACAAATAAATTTGCTTTTTCAGCGTCCGAAATCTGTTGTTGTTCCGTCGTACAGTCGTAGGGGAAGAATTTATTTTATAGGACAGTAGTCGATTGGTTCAAGACCAGATAGATTTCTCCTTAGCAATAAGATTTGCAGCAAATTTTGCGAATTGTTCTTCTTTCCATTGCTCGTAACGGTTTAAAGGGTTGAAGTGATGATTGTCTAATGGTAGCCTTGTCTTTTGCCATTTGGTGCGTGCTAGGCGTTTGGGCGTTATTAGTTGTCCAAAGTGTGTCGGTAGAATGAGTCCATTTAAATGTTTATTTGGGTTTTATTGGTAGTTTCGAGTCCACAAAGTTTCTTGGATGATTGTGATGAATTTATTAATGGTTACATCTTGTATTTTCAGTGATATTTTTAGGTCAATTTTTTCGTCAAGTAGTTGTAGATCAAGTAGTAAGAAAGAAAAAGATTCTATGTTTCTGTCGTTAATTGAATAATTTGAGGTATTAGCATGCGGTAGAGAGTCCAGATGTGATCAGAAGAAAGGGCATCGAGTGCTTGAATTGAACAGGAAGAAATAAATATATCAAGCATTTCCGGAAGTTTCGACATTGATGTAGGCCAGTAGGTGGAGAGTTGATATGACAGAGCAGTTTGAGGATGTGTTGGTACTAAGGAGACCGTTTCCGCGAGGATTTGTTGCCCGACAGCCCCATTCTTGGTCCTTGGCCTTATAGTCGCCTCCTGCTAGAAAATTGGTTCCAAGGATTCTAAAGAAGAGAGTATGACCTTGGGCGATTATTTTGTTGGGAGGATAATATATAGCTACCAATGTAAGGTTAAAGAGGGATGAAATGAGGGTTATGACAGTTGACATTAGGGATTCTGTTGAGTTACTAGGAATAAAGCGATGTACTACAGATTTCCGAATGAGGATGGCAGTTCCATCTGCGAAGTGTTGTCAGGATGATACGCCTGTAAGTGTAGTCTCTGAATTGGAAATTGGATCTACTAGTAAAGGGGTTTCTGTAATTAAGGCAATTAAGGCTACATCTATGCGTCGGTAGTACACATTCCATTGGAGGATAAGGAGTGAATTCTGAGTTGAGGAATAATAGCTCAAAACCAGACTTATGTATGGATCGGGTCAAATGTCCGCTGAAAATAGGAAAACACTCGTCAATTAAAGATACACAAAAGGTTAAGAATACAAATTAAAAAAAATATAGATCCTTTTTACTTTTAATTTTAAACGACAAGACAGGCATAAGACAAGAATGTTGTCTTCCTTCCAGCCAAGTTTGACATTTTCTTCCTTTATGATTAATTACAATAACCACTCTTAAATTTCAAACATTCCCTCCTCCAGGGAAACGTGAAGCGTTTTAATAGTTTTAATTAAGGAAGACAAGCAGAGAAGCAATTTCTGGACCTTGAGCGACCATCAGGACAATTGGAGCTTATTCTTTCCTGCGAGTACACGTGTTTCTCACTCGTTTATATTTAGACACTTTTTTCCTGTCAACTGCAAGCTTCATAACCTGAGGATGTACTTTAAACTCGGAAGTCTGAGTTTATTATTTTAAGATTAAATTTGTAGAGTTAAAAAAAGAATGTGGTTTTTAGTTGTAGGTTGTAGGTACTAATGATTCCATTAGGTCCTAACATAAAACAACAAATAAATCAGAAATTTTAAAAATAATTAAAATAAACTAAAAAATCAGGTAATTTGGTCGAGTTAATGTATTTTTTATATTCACTATATGTAATTATGAATAAATTTATCTCTATTAAAACCAGGAGTAATAAAGCCATCTATATTATAAACCTAAAAAATGAAACATTTAGATGCATAAATTTTTATTTAAATAAAGCTGATGATATTAAAATTTTCTAGTCTTTTATATCAAAGTATATATCTGCAAAATTATTTAAAGAATATGAACAACTTTTATTAACTTCTTGAAACGGATTTGTTGTTGGAAGAAAAAGGTGATTCTGTTAAGAAACCACAGGCCGGGGGGTCGAGTTACATTTTTAAATTAGCCTTAATGATCCCTCGGCCTATAATTACGAAGAACGTAACAGTTGGACGGAGAACATCCTGCTTTTTCAATACAAGAAGAATTACCGCAACAAGAAACGTCTTTTTTTATTACTGCTATTCTTTTTTCTAGAAAAGTGAGACGATTTTTGATCGAATAAGCTAAATGTTTTCCAGCCGAAACTGGCGTCAGCAGAGTGACATAGTTCATGACTTGTTACACATCAACGCATCTTTCCTCCTTGGCAGAGATTGGGATTATGGAAGAGAAACGATTGATCATAAATACCTCCAGGAAAATTTCAAAGAGAAGAAACGCAAAGAAAATTTAATGTTATTGTTTAACATTGTTATTTATATAACAAATCCTTTACCCAGTGTTGTAAACTATGTACTTTTTTTACATAAAAAAATTATTTAGCCAAGAACGGCCTAGAATATACGGCGAATATTAAATATTAATTATTAAAAACGACTGAGATTAAGTCATACGTGTACATATATGTACATGATAACAATATCTTCCAGTTAATCCTCAATATATTCCTTTAAAAAAAAGAAAGGAAAATGACTGAAATATTTCAAAGAATCTGTGAAATCGTCAGATTTGAAAAAGATTCTAGAGGACATTTACGTTGAGGGATTATTCTCAAAACAAATTGAGTTTGAATATAAAAATATACAAATGTGCCCAAATTTAAAATAAAATAAATTCATTATAAATTGTTTTTGTCTCACGTTCTTGAGGTCCATCGATACATGGGACTCGACGCGAGCACAGGAGAAAACAGGATCCGTGAACTGGTCACCTTTGGCAACGAGCGAAGATGTGAAAAGAAACCCCAAACCAAGAAGGATCTCCATCCCTGAAGAATAACGCCGTTGTACAATTCTCCTCTTAGTATTATTCAAAACCGAATTTTAGGCTAAAATTGAAATACATGCACCATTATTTAGAAGTGTTACGGTTGATCGATTATAGCGGCCAAGCATAATTTTATCATGCTAATTAATCGCATTTATTTTGATTTTTAGCATCTGACTAAGCGATGAAGTAATGATAAAACCACTAAGTTGATGCTATATAAACGAATGCCTGCTAGTGTTTTGAGTTGCTAGTGTTTATTTGTTTGAACGTTGTTTTGTGTACCCATTACAATTCGTGGCCCGATTGACCAAATAACTTCTTTCAATTAATTAATCTTTATGTCAGATATTACTTGAAATGAAAAAGTTAGAATATTGCCATTGATATAATTTTCATAAATTTTAAACAATTAGCAAAATTATGAATTAATAAAATATATGAAGGTTTGTGATGGAGTGGCTCTAAATTGAAAGCATAGTAGAATCGAAAGGTAGGTTGAGATGGGAAGTTGGTGTCCGAGTGGATCGAAGTCACGATAGGTCAAGTGGTAGAGCAGCGGCGTGCCGATTTAGCCGAAGGTCGTGGGTTCGAATCCCGCTCGTGACACTAACTTTTTCATTTCAACAAATACCTTACATAAATATTAATTAATTGAAAGTAGGCTGTTTAAATGAATGTTTATTTGTTTGAATATGGTTTTGTGCATTATTTGCTCGTTTCTTTGCTTGCAACGGGTTTATTTGTTCATTTCTTTGTTTAATGATTTTTTACTGTGGTTTTGTGTGTTCTACTTTGTTTGCATGGTTTTCTGTTTGTATGTGTGTTTACCTGATTGAAGTTATTTGTTTATTTGTTTGAATGTAGTTTTGTGCATTATTTGCTTGGAGAGGGTTTATTTGTTAATTCGTTTGTTTAAGCTATTTTGTGTGGTTTCTGAGTTGTATATGTTATTATTTGTTTGCACAGTTTTCTGTGTTAGTGTGTGTGTTTATTTGTTTTTTTTTTAACCGCTTATTTATTTGAATGTGGTTTTGTGCACTTCTTTGCTCATTTTTTAATTTTTTTTTTAGGGTGTGTTTGTATATTCGTACTATACGTACATTCGTTTGTGCCTATTTGTTTGCACGTTGTTTATTGAATTTTTTTGCGTGTTGTTGTTTACTTTGTTTTGTTGTTTATATGTTGTTTTCTTGTTAGTCGTTTGCATGAAGGTCTATTTGTTTGACGTAGTTTTGTGCAGTTATTTCTTCGTTTGTTTGTTAAGTGTTTATTTTATATTAGTTTGTATGAGGGTTTATTTATTGGAATGTGGTTTTGTATGTTTGTTTGTATGTATTTATTTATTTTCACGATGTGTTCTGTATTTGTTTTGATGTTTGTTCGTTTGAACGTTGTTTTGTGCAGTTATTTCCTTTGTTTGTTAACGGTTTATTTTATATTCGTTTGTATGAGGTTTTTTCTTTGAATGGTCATTACCAACAGTAGATTCTTGTTTAGTCGGAACCCTTTTACCTTTCTTCATCGAAAAATTTTCCATAATTTGTAATATAATTATTTGTTAATTTATATAGATAAATATATAACTTAATCTAAATGTGCTATATTAAATTCGTAGAATGTTTTACAATATAGCATAATAATCATTAACTCCATACAATCACTAATAAAATGAGTAAGTATTTCTTGCAACAATTTTTTCTGGAGTTTCTTATATGATTATTATAAAGTCATCAAGGGTTAATTTATATGTAATAAATAAAATAATGTTCATTTTAATTAAGAAGTGTGCATTTTGGTATATAGATAAGACAAAAATCCTATTTATTGTTTCTAAGCTTGTGTGAATACAAATATGATGAAATTGAATTATTTGTTAAAATCATTCTTTATATTATTTCAGGTCATTGAGTGGTGACTTGTTGAAATAAAACTTGTCAATTTATGATTTGAGATGCGTGTTGTTTTGATTGTGGTCAATAAATCTTGAGTGAGTCATATCTCATGCATTCAAACGATTAATTTCCATCAAAATTAAGCGGTTGCTGTTTGGTGAAAAATTCCAGTTACCTAATGGAATAGCGTGGCGTTTTTGCTTTCCCCAGCAGCATACTGGCATGGCATTATTATGTTTTCGCATCCGTCGGCCAGGAGCCGTAGGGGGGATCAGTCACTTAAAGAATTGGACCAATTTAAATCCAGTGGGTGTAGCCTCCTTCCGCCTGGGAGTCCCAATTGTTGGCGACTTTACTGGTGTTCTACTCGCTGCCTACACACCTAGGAAAAGCGCCAGTGTGGCTCACCGTACCAACATTGAGTAGAATTGAGCTTCAAAAAGCCTTTTGTCCATCTCTTCTCGACCGACAATTATACTCATTGTTCTTCAATTGGGTTTTTAAAACGGTCTTTAATCCAGACACGGCCTCGATGATTAATTTCTCCTTTCTGATTCCTCTTTACGGTACATTAGTCAGCCAGAGTCAATTTTTAATAAAACATCGCTAAAAAAAACCCCATACTTACGCAATTATTTAAATTTTCAAATAAGATTTTTGTTTCAAATTGCATTAATGATTGTATAACACCATAATAGGCAATATTGGTTTTGCAGCTTTTGATTTGACTTTTTTTCTCAATCATCATAAATATTGTTTTTTTTTAAATTAATTAAATTTGAAAACTTTCAGATTAATTTATAAACCAAACTAGTTGTTGGTTTAATCAAAAATCTTCATTAAGAAAAAAGTGTGATAAAATACATACAGAATCGGTACAATTTTCTACTGGTTTACCCCACTCAAATGATTTAGCATGAGAAAATTTTTACACAGACACACACACACACACACACACAGAGGCTTGACGAAACCCCACAGTGTCAATCTAAAATAGTCGCAATAATGACTTGTAAAAGTTAGTTGAGTGTTGATGATCAAACCAGATTTTTGTCCTAACAGTCTTCACAGTTTTCCAGATCTTTGGTTAGATTAGATGTAGAAGTAGATGTGTCATTGGGAGTATGCATTATACTACGCCCTTTAAGAGCATTGTATGCCCAGTTCTGTGCTTATGGCACACCGGTGAGTCCTCGTGCATTCAAAGAACTTGATTAATAGGCAAGGTTAGTGGTTGAATTTCTCTTACGGTTACATTGTACGCCCAAAACGCTTGGGGCAAATGTTAGTAGGTGTGCTGGTATCCCCTCTTCTTTTTTACAGAATCGGCAAGAGCCCTTTTGTGTTATGCCAATCTTCCTCAGGTCTGCAGTGTCCTTTTAGGATTCGAAGTTTTCTATGCTTCCTTTGATGCATTCTGTTGTTTCTTTCCTTCCAAAATTTGCTTGAAGGTTGTTCGATTGTGAATTCCACTGCTTCTACATTTTCATTATGTTCTTTGGTGTAAGGCACTCATTGACAGTGTGAATTTCTATGCCACAGAAGGGCTTATTCTCTCAGTTGTATCTAGTTATTGTCCTAAAAGTATCTGACTTGAGTGGAAGTTGGCTGGAGGAAAAAAGTAGCCACCCTCAATATTTTTAATTATCTCTAAGACAATCCTTCATGGATTATCTTACAATATTTGGACCGTTTTAAGGGATTAGAGATAAATAAAACAAAGGTAAAATCTCCCACTATTGTTTACAATGGATTTTGTATGTATACCTGTGGATAGCCTCTTCTTTGTTAGACATTCTGGTGATTTGATTTTTTTAAGGCTTACCATCAAATTTGTTTGAGTGATGGTTTTAAGTGATACAGATTCGGCTAGAATTATAGCATTGTTGGAAGACGGAAGAAGTCAAGCGTCTGTGGCCAGGGTGCTTAACATTTCCGGAATAACTTTCCGAAGGGTCTTCCATAAAGGTTACGCAAGTAGGCATGGACCAGGTCGCCATCGTGTCACATCTCAGAGATGATCGTTTTATTGTTTAAAATGTACTACGTAATCGACATTTTAGCTGCCCGTTTATGCACTGAAAAGCGAAAACTTTCAGAAGCTTAATTACGAGAAGACCTGACACTATTCCAAAACTTCTCACAAGGAAGAACAGCTCGGTTATATTTCGCAAGAATCACATCAAATGGTCTGAGCAAGATTAGGCTAAAATCTAGTTTGCGGAGGTTTTGCTTGAGGTCTTCTGACGGCCGAGAGAGAGTTTGAAGAAGAGCAGGAGAACGAAATATCCCCGCAACATTTTCACCACAGAGAAGCTGTGAAGGTGTGGTGGTGTTTTGGTTTGGGAATGCATTTCTATGGAAGGTCGCATACCTAACACTTGCGCGATACAATGAAGATGTGTTATCAGAAGAAGTTGTATTTGTGACGATTTTAACATTGTGCATGACAATGCAAGACCCCACACATCTAGTTGGTGACTGGCTTCAATTCAATGTTTTGAGTGACCAGTATATAGTCCCGATTTAAACCTTTGGGCCGAGTTGACAAAGAGGGTAAAAAGTCGCCAGTGATGGTAGAGAATTTGCAGGAATTAAGAATGGCGCTGTTTGAGGAGCATGAAAGTATTCCACAGCACTACATTCAAAACCTCATAAAATCCATACGGTGATCAACGCAAGACGAGGACATTTTTGGTAAAAGTTTAATTTTTTATTTAACTAAATCTTATATTTTTATTGCAAGACGTTTGAATGTATAAGAAAATCATCAATATAAATGGTAAATAGGATGGGACTAAGAATGCTCCCTTGTGGGACGCCGGCTTGTATTTACTGATACCTGATATCTCGTTGCACCACCTCATTCTAAAGCAGCGTCAGTTACAAGGATTCAAGAATAAGTCAATAAGAGTATAAGCGTTTAAGTTTATTAAGGATGCTTTACTGCAAATCAAAATTACAAAAAACTATGTTTTACTGTAAATAAATGCTCGATTTGTAGGCAACAAGTATAACGGTTTAATTACCCTAGTTAACACAAAAATAAACAACGAAACCCTTGCAATTATTGAAGAAATGTAGCATAGCTTTTTAACGAGACAGATTAATTTAATTCTTAACTTTAAACTAGGCAATTAAAAAATAAAATTAATTGCCATTAATATATCCATTATAGCTTTGCTCATGTAGGATATTCAAGATTCTGGACTCTGTACTTTCGTTAGTACCATATTGAACTTCTCGTCGATAAACATATTTGTGAGAGAGCGAGAGAGAGTGTGTGTTTGTGAAAGAGACAAAAATTGAAAATGGCAATGAAACATACAGAAATATTTTTCTTTATGATAATACAAAAGCCGACTTTATTCACGTAATGCATTTTCTGAATGATCTTCTAGTGGGAATTGCCAATTTTGACAAGTGGCATTGATATTTTTATAATTATCTACACTAAAAAATGCAATCTGTCACACACACACAGTTCCTACTGTGAAGTTGCAAGACTTCCGTTGATTCTGGTAGCTGCAATTGACACAAACCACGCGTTCTTCAGGCGGGAGGCTTGCAACAGAAAGTATTCCTAGATGAACACAGATGGCAGTTGTGTCCATCTAGAATATCATAGAACTGAACTAGTACAACTTTGGTAACTGTAACACCTTCAATCATTTTTCTGCTCTGTCCGGTTAAAGTATCAGCCATCGGACTACTAATGATCACTACATTAGAAAGATTTGGTCGATGGCATAATAACATAAATTGCTCCCTAATCCGAACTTAGGTACTCCGAATAATCCAGTAATCGGAACATCCGAACAGTAAGTGAGTGAGTGTGTGAGACAGTGAGTGAGAGAGAGAAAAAGAGAGTGAATGAGTGAGCGAGGAAGAATGTAGGAGAAAGAGTGACCAGGATTCAAGAAGCGTAGTAAATCAAACCAAATAAAGCAAACCAAAAGTCCCTATCACCTTTTTTTTTGTAAGTGGCTCAGGGAAATGTGGTGCCTTTGTTGCACCACTGTGTTTTTTTTTGTTTTTTTTTTTATGTCGTTTAATGTATGAGGAACCCAATTTTCGAGCTTTTTCACCTTTCCAATTACCTTAAGGAGGTCGGCGACGATCGATTTGCTAACTGAAACATCCTCTGCAAGTTCTCGAAAAGTTGATCTGGGACTTTCTTCGACCAAAGCTCGCAGAACACCAATATCGTGGTATTCAAGGCTAAAGTCTCCCTCTCGAAATTCTCTAAACCATCTCTGAACGAACCTCTCACTCACACTGCCATCATTAATGTTTCTGGCCCATTAGGCTTCGTTCCGACCGAGATAAAAATCGTAAAATGAAATTAGGCGAAAATCACGCGTTGACATCTTAGTAAATACTGAATTAATCCCAAGTAACGAAATGCTACTGAGGTAAACAAATATTTTTGTTTGAAAGAGGATTAAAAAGTGTTGACAAACGTACTTATTTGAAGAAATCCTTCAACACAAACAGTTTATTATATAGTGGAGTAATTGAAAGAAAACATGAAACTTGCACTATTTTCCGGACAACCCAAAAAAACCTTTCTTAATTCTATTATAAACTATTGAAAAAGGTAATTAAAAATAATTATAAGCTTAGGGTTTCAAACACGTGTCAATGGGTTGAAATAAATAAAATAATTAATATAACGTATAAATAAATTGTTGATACACTATGGTGATATGAACATGTACTAATACTATATTGTTGACAGCAGTTGGATAGAGCTAGCTACAGTTTTGACTCTTCTCGCTGATGACCAGACGTTAATATTAGGACAGTTAGACAGCAAATGCAAGCGGCCCATAGTTTTTCAGGTGCGACTAGGTAGGAGAGTGAAATTTGTTTTTTTATCTGTCATTAAAAAGTATAACAACCGTTAATCCTTCTGATGAAACAGCCCTGCTTAATAATAAGAATGCGTCATTGGCCTGTTAACGTGGGGAGCAGCATAAGGCGCCGATGTGGGAAGGGAAAGTTGGTCGTTGGCACGGCTTTATTCTTTTTAATATTTATGGTCAATAGCCATTTTTCTTTTACATGTTGCCTCTGTGCAAATTAAACGGCGAATTAGAAAATAATGCTCGGGGAATTTTCAGCATCGTCAGGAAATGGCGAGGACATGAGCTCACGATGGAAGTATGAAAATAGAATTCACTACATCAGGATACAAGCTCTTGTAGAAAAAAAATTAGTTAAGCGAGGGTTGCTGTAACATAGTTTAGTCTCATCATTTCTAGCATTTAAAACCAAAGGGAAATTATTTAAAACAACAATAGTTTCCACATTGAAAGATATGTGTCTTATTTCTCACAGATAAAAGTGAAAAAAGATGCATAAGTGCATTAAAAGGCTTATATCATTTTTCACTCGCATTAATTTACATATATATCAATTTACATATATTTCATCTAAATTGCGTTAGTCATATGGGAATAGAAATGATAGATTCATTGACTGTATAGATCATTCTTTATTGAGATTTCACAAGAATTAAGTTTGAATTTGAAATATTAGATTGTCGTTGTCAGTATTGGTATTATTGTAAATTTAAAAAAAATCTTTAGTAATACAATTCCGTTACAATTGTTAGTATACCTATTTCGTCATCATTGATAGTAAATTCACAATATTGTGAAATTTACTTTATTAATGTGATATGGATCGTTTACTAAAAGGGCCACTTTACAATCCAGGTCTAAAAAAAACTTATACATGCATATATAATTTTTTTACAAACTTAATATAGATATGAATCATGATGAAAGGGTGACTTCATTGCTAAATGTTCAGATATTGTCGCACAAATCAGGCCTATAAGTACATTAAACTTAAATTTTTTGCTAAACTGTTAACTAAACTATTTTCAACTAAAAACTATTTTTTTGCTCTGTTTCTAATAGATCAATAAGTAGGTTAATTTTGTTGTATCGTAGTTTTGTCAATCTATTTATAGTTTTTTTCTTTATTTATTGTGGGTTTTAATTCGGAAAAGAAAAAAAAATTATCACCAAATGTGTTTATTTTTTGTTCATACATACTTTTTTTCGTACGTTAGTCTGTTTGTGTGTCTTTTTGTTTGTTAATATGTGATTGTTCGCTCATCTAGTTCTTTTGTTTGTATGTTTATTTATTCGTTAGTTTGTTTTTTAGTGTGTTTATTTGTTTGTTTGTCTGGTCGCCCGATGATTAGTTTCTGCGTATGTTCGCTCGCACAGATATATACGTGTGCCACTGTCCAATATTTCCCTTTATATACCTTGTCATTAAAAGTGTTTCAGACCTAAGGTTAAAAGACAAAGTTTTTAAAAAAAATATGGTCTATTAATCATTCATTTTAAAATTAAATGAAGCCTATTTAGTATTAATTAGGTATAATTAATAATAACATTGCAAATAGTTACTATTCTTATTTTTTTAAGGTAAGTTAAAACAAAAAAGCAAGATAAATTGGGAATAAGAAAGGAAGTCTGGAGATTACCAATGATTAGAAATTTTATCAATCCTCATTTTTTCAAGTATTTTTGCAAAATTTGAATCCATTAAAAACAAACTCTCTTTTATTATTAATAATTTGTATTTATTATAAATCTTTTTAGGAAAAAATAGATAGATAGATAGGTAGGTAGATAGATAGATAGATAGACAGATAGATAGAGAGATAGAGATAGATATAGATAGTAGATATAGATAGATAGATAGATAGATAGATAGAGAGAGAGAGAGAGAGAGAGAGAGTGTGTAAAAGAGACATATAGAGAGAAGAGAGAGAGAGAGAGACAGAGAGAGTGTGACAGAGAGATATAGAGAAGAGTGATAGAGCGAGAGAGATATAGAGAGGATACAGAGAGAATGAGAAAGATATAGAGAAGAGAGAGAGAGCGAGATTTAGAGATAGAGAGGAGACAGACAGTATGAGAGTGATAGAGAGAGGAGAGAGAGAGAGGCGAGAGAGGAATAGAGAGAGAGAGAGAGAGAGAGAGAGAGAGAGAGAGATAGCGACAAAAGGGAGAGTGACAGAGAGATATAGAAAGGGGAGAGAGCGAGAGAGATATATATAGAGAGGAGACAGAGAGAATGAGAAAGATATAGAGAAGAGAGAGAGAGAGCGAGATTTAGTGATAGAGAGGAGACAGAGAGTATGAGAGTGATAGAGAGAGGAGAGAGAGAGGCGAGAGAGGATTAGAGAGAGAGAGAGAGAGAGAGAGAGAGTGAGAGTAAGAGAGAGATATAGCGACAAAAGGGAGAGTGACAGAGAGATATAGAAAGGGCGAGAGAGATATATAGAGAGAGGAGACAGAGAGAATGAGAGAGATATATAAAGAAGAGAGGAGAGGAGAGAGAGAGAGAGAGAGAGAGAGAGAGAGAGAGAGAGAGAGAGAGAGAGAGAGAGAGAAAGAGAGAGAGAGAGAGAAAGAGGGAGAATGTTTTGTGTATGCGTGTTTTCATTAAGAGAAGGGAAATTCTTTTTGGTGTTAAAAGCTTATAATTTTATAATTTGCATAGTAGTTTTATGGTAACTGGTTACAAAAGGGATGTCTTTGTGGAAACTGTGAAAACTGGGTTTTGGCTCTCAAAAAATCGGCTAATAGTCGTAGCAAAGCTCCCGTTCTCAGGAAATCAAGCCGTGTGCTACTGTTTTGGACGTTTAACGGTTTCTGTTGTTGGTTCCGACGTCAAACTTATTAAGAAACGACCTTAAGGATGGAAACGGGGCTACGGGACAATGGGATAGACTGCTCCACGCACACGTGTGAAATAGAACTCTCCACCTTTTGTTTTTCGGGTTTCTATTTACTTTCAGATCTGGGATACCACGCCTACTTTCCAAATGTTTTCTCGTCCGAGAGCTATTTTCCGAAAATACGAATTAGACTTCCCAAAAAAGTTTTTGGAAGAACGCAGTCACAACAAAATCAAAATAAGCTTTATCCACTCTCATACTCTGGGACTGCTAATAAATTTAATTAAATTTTCATTCATTCTAGTTAAGAAATTATGACGTTTGCTAATCGAATCAAGAAATAATTTCAACTTGAGATACTATTTTAAGTAATTATTTCGTTCCTTAGTGTGCTCATTAGTTCATTCGTTTTTTTCTTTTTTTAGTGCTTTTAGAACTTGTATTTTATGTGATTGTGTGTGCTAATGTTCAGAATCACCTCTGATTATCAATATTTCAAGGTTTTTAAAAGCTTACTTAAATTTTATAATTTATGACTAAATAATACTGTTTCACATCTCCTGCATCATACACATCATATTATTTTTATTGTTCGTTATGGTTTGTAATTTAAAAAATGTATTAACCTTATGCTAAAGGCGAGTTTGAACGTCTCTACATCTCTTTCCTTATTGTGATAAAAAATTCTAGTAAAAATGATGATTCGGAATAAAAAAGATAAATGCCCTTCCTCTCTGATTTCAAGATACAAGCTGGTTTTAATGGAGAAATATGCCTGTAGGAACAATAGCGAAAACAGACGGACCAATCTTGAAATAGTTTTATTAACAGAGAAAATGGAACAGTTTACATTCATATGTTTATATCAAGTTTTGTTTATTTTTTAATTTGTACTATTTCACACATTACTAGGTAATTACTAGATAATTTTATTTGGTGATTCAAAAAGGTAATACATATTTGTTTTGTATTAATATTATGAGTGCAATATTTATCTGCTTATTTTTTTAATATCTGCTTAGTCTTCTGTCTCTTGGAAGACCTGATACGTTTAAGGTTTTAGATGATTGTTGAAATTTTTAATTGATTGGCTATTTTATAGGTTTTGTTTTCTTGTTGAGTTAAACCATCAATAAATCATAAAACCGTCAAAATCCAAGATTTCACGTGGTGCAATGCCCTAGTGAACAAAAAGGCGCCATCCGGTACAGGAAAGACGTAGGAGGGGTGAAATGTATTATTTCCTTTCTGTCGCAGGGTATTCTCGCCTTTGCTCATTTGTGAGCCGAAATGAATTTAAAAATCGGTCGCATTTTCCCTCCTCCCCACCAGCGCTAATTAATTCTTTAATAATCGTCTCATTTCGATTCGCTGCATATCGCACTGACGTTATCGGTATCGAATTGCTATTTCCCATCTTGTCGCAAAGGAAGACGTGGTTGGATAGATAGGAAATATTTCCTTCCTATTTTAAAAGGACGTTAACGTGCTTAGTTCTATTTTAAACTGACTTACACTTGACATAAATGGACTCTGTTTACAGCATTAAAACTATACATGGTAAATTAATTTTAACCCTTAATTAATGGAGTGATTACCGTTTACTTATCTTAACAACAGCACACAACTAAAACCCAAACACGCAGATATTTTTCTAACATCACACATACTATGTTCTACCAGATGCAAATTATTCTTATTAAATTTGAGAAAATTCACAATCCAAAAAGAAAACCTAGGGATGTTAATCACCAGGTCTTTCTATCGTTTTCCTAGTTTATCGTGTGGTTTTCGTTCTTATCTGTTTTCTCTTGCAGTTTTTCTAAATCAAAACTGTAACTAACGTTGTTTAAACCTTACTAGATTTCATTTGATTTTTATAACCTTTACACTTATTATATATGTAATAATTCATCAATAAATTAACGTTAATAACTTTAAAAATCCCTTTTTGCCTTTTGAAAATTGACTTATTACACTTTTAATAAGAAAGTATACACATGGAAAACTAACGAACGAACTTTAAACAAATGAACAAGTAAATAAACAATAAATTAACGCCAAAAAGAATCGACTAAAAAACAAATAAACGGGACACTCACTCTAACAATAAGACAAACGTGTATTATCTTACCAATTTAAA